TGTCACGCCAAAAATGTTAACCAATTTCATGGCAGCAAATAAATCCATTTCATTTCTTCAATGTGCAACACAGATGTTTCTCTTTGTTACTTTTGGAACAACGGAATGCTTTCTCTTGGCTGCAATGGCTTATGATCGCTATGTGGCCATCTACAACCCACTTCTGTATTCAGTGAGCATGTCACCCAGAGTCTATGTGCCACTCATCATTGCTTCCTATGTTGGTGGCATTTTAAATGCTACTATACACACAGTGGCCACATTCAGCCTGTCCTTCTGTGGATCCAATGAAGTTAGACATTTCTTTTGTGATATCCCTCCTCTCCTTGATATTTCTTGCTCTTCCACTCACACAAACCAGCTTCTACTCTTTTACTTTGTTGGATCCATTGAGATAGTCACTATCCTGATTGTCCTGGTCTCCTATGGTTTCATTCTGGTGGCCATTCTGAAGATGCACTCTGCTGAAGGGAGGCAAAAAATCTTCTCTACATTCGGTTCTCACCTAACTGGAGTGACAATTTATCATGGGACAGTCCTCTTCATGTATGTGAGACCAAGTTCCAGCTATGCTTTGGAGCATGACATGAGAGTTTCGATTTTTTACACCGTTGTGATTCCAATGCTGAATCCCATCATCTACAGTTTGAGGAACAAAGATGTAAAAGAGGCAATGAAAAGATGGTTTGGGAGAAGTTGGTTTTAAAGAAAGTGTGTTTTCAACATTGAGTAAAGATGAAGATATAATCAGAGGAGAGGGTCTGGGGAGGTCAAGTACCAGATGTGACCCTTTCCTTTACTAAGTTCTTGACTGCAATATGTTATTGGCGATATTGCTCTGTCCAAATGTATGTAACCATGTGGCTTGGGTGTATATCTTTTGCATGTCTTGTTTTACTTGCCCAATGACAATAAGGTAGGAACAGCAAGTTTTATTACTGATTGTACAGACTCCCCACTGCATAGCTAGAAAATTGTCTAGGGCCAGGCAACTGTCTAAGAACAATGCCAGCTAGGTAGTCAATGGATGCTTGAAGTTTTTGCATAGTATGTCCTGTTTGTGTTAACTCAGCTACAGTGTTACTCAAATTCCCTAAGGTTGAATTCATGATATGAGAATCCTTCCCAGGGAACAGCTAATCCAATAGCTGCTGCAGTACCTGCTAACATTAGGCCAACATCTCATTTTTTTTT